AGCCGTGGCATGCGGAAAAGAATTGGTGTGTAGGTACGTGTTTGCGAGGTAGGGCTGCATTTTGGACCCATAGATTGTGCTGCCCCTGACAGTGTTTCTTTTTCAAATGAGGTTTTTGGCCAAGACTTGTCCCCTTTTGTCTGGGAAGGAGAAATGGGATATTCTGTAAGAGAAAGATCGAGACTGAAGCTGGAGACCTGAAGCACTAGCTTTTCACTTCAGAGTACAGTGGAAATGTGAGACACAGGCATTTGCCTTCCCAGCTTGTGGTGTATAGAGGCTTTTATTCCATATTGTCTGGAGCAGCTTGATCTCAATACTGTTAATTATATTTTAGCATGCTACTGAATTTTTGGAACAAGAAACATGCCACTCGGTCTCAAGTGATTGCAGTTCTCCATGCTTCAGCTTGAAGGGTGCCCTTTGCTTTCCCAATTTTCCCCCTTGCAGGGAAGGTCTTTTTCTCTTTTGAACTACACATTATTCAGGAGCCACATTGAGCTCTATCCTTATAACATTATTATGTAAAATGAGCATTTGTGAAGCAGAAGATATTTAATTGGGGGCAACTGCAAGCAGAAAATAGTTTAATCCACCTTTTTAAACCTCCCCCCCCCACCCCCCGGCACTCTTTCAGATTTATGAATCTGTTTCTCCCAACCATGTATGGAATTATAATTTGAAAATGAGTACTTTGATTTTTTTTTAACTGCATGGTTTGGAATCTATGATAATCTAGAATAGGAGCTGGCAAACTTTTTCTGTAAAGGACCAGCTAGCAAATTCGAGGTTTTGCAGGCCAAGAGACAGATTGAGAATTTTATGTATATATTTATTTCATTTAAATATAATAATATAATCACGTAAAATACAACTATTGAAAACTATAAAGACCATTTTTAGCTTACCGGCCATGTGCTAATTATTGGTATGCCAGGTTGGGTCCATGGGCCTGGGTTTTTCAACCCTGGAATTAGAGGAAGCTGGAAAGTTACTCATACTAATTGTATTGATTGAGCATTTATTTTGTGTTAGTTTTAGTGCTTAAACCTTTGCTGGTCACTGTCACTTTAATCCTCGCAACAATCCTGTGAGCTAGGTTTACTTTATTAGTCCACTTTACAGATTAGAAGATTGAAGTGGAGGAAGATAAAGTAACTTTCCCTCAATGGAGCTGGAATTAGAACACAAGTAGTTAGATCCTCAATGTTGAGTCACAATGGAGAAAGTTTATGGTTGGAGAAGAGAGGGTTGGAAAGAGAGATCAGAGATATAAAGAAGAAATGACATACAGAGAGAAGAAGGTGAATTCTACTGGCAGCAGGAGGGAGATAACAAGAAGAAGGATGAGCAAATAAAAAGAGAGACAAAGAGGAATGTGTCTGATCACTTCTTGAACTGAACTTACGTTTTCAGGTGGTACCTGTTGGGAGTAAAATATTCGAACCCAAAACTTGTAGCAACTTAAAAAAGGAGGAAGGTTAGGGTACAACACAGCCTCTTAACTCTCCCTTTTGACTGTGAGTTGCTGGTTTTCCTTGGAAACGTGGGAATCCCTCGAGTCCTGGGTTGAAATTATTTATGCTTCTGCCATGATAATTCAGGCCACCTTATTTTAGAGTATTGGCTTAAGGATTTTTAGACCCCACACAGATGAATCCTTAGGAAAGAATGCTTTTAGTGTTCTCAGGGAAGATTTTGTACTCTCTTCAGTGCTCAGGAACAGGAAGATCTTTCTGTGCTATGTACAAGGCTTGTTCTCTTTACTTCACTCTGTAACTGAGGTATAGCCTGTTAGGGACCTACCTTTCCATAGGAGTTTCTTTTAATACACCCATCTTGGTCAGAACCTATTCCCTAACTCTACCCCTCTGCACCCTGCACCCTGTGTAGCTGTCAAGACGGGAAATCAAGAGCTCCATGCTTTTGCAGAAACCTTACAAACATAGGTCAGCTTTGGTGCTTACTTACCTCCTAAGATTTCTGCTGTCCCTTGGTTTTGGCCTCGGCTTTCTTCCTTTTGTGTCAGCTCTGTGATGATTTTCAGTAGTGTCTATTCATATAGCGAATGCAGCAGTTTAGTTGGTTCTGTGGCAGAATCCATTGGGGTATCTAGTCTGCCATCTTGAAGGCAGCAGGAGTGTGATTCACCCTTTTGGCAGATTAAGGAGATGGAATCTGCAGGTGTGAGACGAACTGGACATTAAATATGGTTCTTGGATCAAGAAGAATTCTCTGGCACCAAGTCTAGCCAGACTCTGCCTTCAGTTACAGTGTGGCAAGATTTAGTTAATGGGGTTGGAGCTAAGCTTTGAGGTTTGGTTTGGTTTGAGTTGTCTAGTAGCTGACCAAGATAGGCATATCATCATATAGACCTTTATATATGTAGAGAGAAGCTGTGGCCTATGGAGTCAGACTGATTTGACCCTTAGTCTCCTTTTCATCTCTTCCTTGCGTGTTCATAGCCTTGACCAAGACTTTGGATTTTGTACCAACTGCTATTTCTCTGTATGTAAAAGAGTGATGATCATTCCTGATTTTGTAAAAATTCCATGAGACCAAGCAAGTGAGGTTTGGTGCATGACACGCGGTGGACATTCAGTAGGTGGTGGCTACTGCCGGAAGCCGTGCTCCAGCCGGGATGGGTGCACAGGAAGGCGACATAGGTGAACAAAGTCAGACCAAGACCTCAATGCCCCTTAGCATGTTCTCAGCTGGCTACAGCCAGAGTAAACTCAGGACTGCAGCCCTGATGGCCAGGAGTCATGCGTATTTATTATAGAAGGAGTTTTATAGGAGTAGGATAGGTGAGGGGAAGTAAGTGAAAGATTTTACTCCAAAAGGTAAGACATTCAAAGTATAGGAACAATAATCATAAAACATGATGTCTGTTTTGTTTAGGTATAAACAGTCATAATTCTTAGAACGAGGAAGTCCATTTTTCGAGTGTATTCTCTTTTTAGATCTTGATTACTGGGGAGGGTCTTTGGATGAGAGGACTCCCAGGAATCTTAATAACCTCAGTCCCAGACCAGCTTGATCACTTTAGTCCCAGACCAGCTTGATTACTTCAGTCCCAGATTGGCTTGAAAACTTGAGCCCCAGGTCAGCTTTTGAGAACTTCAGCCTCAGGCTAGGGTGGCAGCAATTACAAGGGCCTAGAAATAAATCCTGTCTGGTTTAGGAAAGACAAGGTTAGTGTATATTAAAGTGGAATACCTATGTTATCTCTGGGGTAATCCACAGGCTACTGTTAGACCTAGGGGGAAAAAAAAAAGCAACCATGAAGGAAGATGGCTCCTAAGGAAATGAACATCTTTCCCAGAGGCTTAACATCACAAATTCTGGCAGAAGCTTGAGTTGCTGTCAGGGCCCTAGTCTAGAGAGAGGGTCTGAAGCAGGTCTCGGAAAGCAGCTGAAAGTCCTTATAGTCAGGTTGTAGTGGAAGCCCTGGAGTCTTCTCAGGGAGGAAGCTGAGTGTGCAAGTTAGACAAGTGTACAAATTCAGATCAAATTAAACATAGAAACCAGATCAGCTCAGAGGTCTGCCCACTAGTGCTCACTATTCCTCTTCTCCTTTTAGCGCTAGGGATGCTGACAAATGACTGTGCCCTTGCTTGGTACAGGAGCGATCATGAGACCAGCTTGCCCTCATATTCAGGCTACAGAGGTCAGGGTTGATAGGGGTCATCCGGAGGAATCTTAACATTTTGGAAAGACCACACTTTCAAGGCAGAGGAGGTGCATGGCAGCAACCCGAAGTATTATTCCTTTTTTTTTTTTTTTTGGTCCTCTGACACCTCCATTAGTGTCCCATTTCTCTGGCTTATTCTGAAATTCCTCCCAGTCTTGACGTGATGGAAACTACCTACCCTCAGGCCAAGCACCTTATGGCAGATCAGGCTCCATCCCATCCTGTTCCCTCTGTTCCCACCTTGCTATAGTCCTATTGTGCCTTGGCGCTCAGAAAGAAGTGATACTGAAGAATGGGAATTTCTCAATTACTTTTGTTTAAATCTTTGAGAAACCAATGTATGCAAATCAAATAGCCCTTGGAGTGGCATTTCATCTTGCAACATACTTAATTTTTGAGACTTTCATTATTTTGAGGTGCTCAAAAATGATTTTTCAATTAAGCTTAAAAGTTTAACAATAGAAAATTTCTTTTTTCCTTTCCACATAGCAAATGCCTAATAAATAGTATTTCAAAGGAAAAAAAAAAAAGCAATCTACCACAAGACTAATGAACTCAGATCTATTCATTGACCTCTTACTGTGAAAAAGGCCTCTGCTGTCTATCTTTGAATGTGTAGTCTTAAGAATAAATGATCTGGCCCATGGTTGCTTAGATAAATGCATGAACAAAGGTAAGACAAAATAGAGATGTAGATTTGATTCTATGTCTATTTTGGACTGCGGGCTTTCAGGGCGAAAATGGCAGTTAGAGTAGAAATAGTTTTTGAAAATGAATTTGTATAAATTGAGCATGCTAATACCAATGACAGAAAATGTAATTTCATTTTTTGACTCAGAGTTGTTTATCTCCGTTATTGTTGCTATAGAATTTAGCAGAAGGAAAAAGGAAGGCAAGATTACATATTAAATATCTTTGAAAAATTATCTTTTTGCTTTAATATCCTTTTGCCTTTGTGTCTATTTGATATACTCTTGTTATTACAGAGATTAGGGCTTTCAATGATGTCAGAAAAGGTTAAATATATTAAAAATAAGAACAATGTTCAGAAGGGAGGCCTAATCAGCTCTGAGCATAGCATTCATTATTCATACCTGCTGTTTTCCTTGGAATTCAGCTTTGTAGGTGAGTAGAGCTCAGTTTTGTTGGACCAGTACTGGAAGTGGCCAGTATTATCCTTAGGAAAACTCCTAGATTTTTAAGAAAGTTAGATAGATACTGAATTGCCTTTTGGACCATTTAGACTCTGAAAAGTTTTCTTCTTGGACTGATATGGATACTAGAGTTGGCCAGATTTTCAAAGTATGGCAGGTACACTTCTTCTCTAATGGATTCCACATTGTGTTTCACTGTTAGGAGAGATGCAAATCTGTTTCAACTCTTTCTTGTCCAGTCCGCAATTACAGACCAGTAACGACCTTATGTAGAACTACTGGTTATGGATGTAAAGCTGGTAAACCCTATGTTATCATTTCCTTTTATTATCTCCCCATTTACATATGATTTGGTCACTTGGCCTGATCAAGCTCTTGAAAGTATATTCTATCTGTTTCCTATAGAATTCCCAAAGAATGTAACTATAGATTCTAGAAATTCTTTGATTGAGCTGAGATTTTAAATGCAAGATGGAATTTTGGAAGACCATGCATATTAGAAAGAGCCATAGGATGCCAAGTTTTCAGGCAGAGTCCAGTGATTTCTTTGGGGGTTAATTATAGTACATGCTGGTTAAAGTCTCTTCATAATCTAAATGATGTATGGTGATTTAGTGTATGAATAATAATAAAAATTAATTAATTAATTAAAAATAAAAAGAAACTTGGCTAGGGTCCTATTGGTTATTTTCTCTGCTCTTTGCTGCCACACACACAAAAAGCAAACAAATGGCAAGTTTTCTTGAGAAATTCTAAAAATCTCAGAGGAAGAAGGTGAATTAAATTATAGAACCAAATGTTGAAATTACATGTGGTTGTTATTTGTGGAGAGTAGTCCTGTTAGGAGTAATTGTTCTTCACCATATTTTTGAAGGGAACCTGGGGTGGGCTACATAAAAAAGTGATCAAGAGAGAGGATTTGGAACCGCATCCTGAGAAGCTGCTAAGGAAACTAGGTGGTGCTGACAGTGGTCGAAAGCAGACATGAGGACAGGATAACTTCCAATGTTTGAAGATTAGAAGAGCTCAGGATGGGTTACAAAACAAAAGTAAATTTACAGGAAAAAGATTTCACAGCTCAAACCAAGAGAGGCATTTTTAAACAACCAGTGCTAATAAAAAAAAGTGGTTTTCCTTAGACGATAATAAATATTTTACCACTAGAGATGTGAAAACAGGGGCTAGATAATGACTTGAAGGGATTTCTTATGAAAATGTTCAAGTTTTTTTTTTTTTTTTTTTTTTTTTTTCCATTCCGTTCATATTGAAGATTCTAGGACTGTGATTAATGGTAACCATTAGGTGGCCTAGAGAAATTTTAAAAAGGTTATTTTACAAAATTCTTATCTCACCTGGGCATTTGGTTACCTCTCCTGACCTTTATCTGAACACCGAAGCAAATATCTGGGGCATTCTGTCCAGGAGAATCCTGATCTGGGGAGAAAGTAGGCCCTCCCATAACTTCTTTTTTTTGATCTCAGTTCCTGAGAATTTTTCATTAGAGAAGAGGTAGTGACTTCCTCACATGTACACCATGACATTCAGGTTAGCATGTGACCAGGGAGAAGATAGTGGGAGACAATGTCAGTGCATGGAGCTCCTGATCAGGTCTCCTGCAAACATTGTAATGAGGCCTCAAGAACACATTCGTTATCAGTGTTTCTGTGTGGGCTTGAGCTGAAAGTACACACGCTTATGAACACTCATGAGGGTCCCGTGATGCAGTTTAATGTTTTATTTGGTATTCATTAGACCATGGGAGACAAAGTGTCTTCAATTTAGAGTGATTCCACCTTGTATTTAAAAACAAAAGGAACATACACAAAGAGACTGCAAACTGATTCTTTTAAGAATCAGTGAATGAATCAGTGAATTATTCTGAGCTTTTTTTTTTTTTCACTTTCTGCTTGGATTTTGTGTGTGTGTGTGTGTCTGTCTGTGTCTGTTAGACTTGTTAGGTAGATGCAATTGAATGATAAAAATTACATCCAGTAATTCATGTTTGCAGTTAAATTATGCAGAGACAAGACTTAGTCAATTGGAAAACTGTCATTGCGAGAAGACCTGTCAAGTGAGTGGACTGCTCTATCGGGACCAAGACTCTTGGGTGGATGGTGACCACTGCAGGAACTGCACATGCAAAGTAAGCCTCTTTGTAAATAAATAAAATAAAAGCAGTTTAAGAGGATAGGCTCTCTAATTGCAGTGTAATCTGTTCTTTAATATATAATATAAAATTTAAGAATTGGGGCTCTTTTTTTTTTTTTTCCTAGTGCTCACTAGTAATCCGAGCAGTTTATGAAGCCATGCTGGAAAAGTGTCATTTAAAAAAAAAAAGAAATTCCCCCCAAGAAAGAAGCAGCACTTCCAGCAGGTCCTGATGTTACAATCCACTCTCAGCCTTCAGCTGGCCTCAGAACATGGGGAAGGGCATGCCTGATGTTCTCAGGGAGGTTTTTAGACTTGAACTGGGAACTTTCATGTGTGGTACTCTGCTTTGCATTTTATTTCATGCGTAATTCTCTGCCTTACAGAGTATCCTATTTTACCACTGTGCCGCTGTCTGGCCCCCAAAGTGTAATTTCTTACCTAATTAGTTGGAAATTAAAATCTGCTTTCTCTTGACAACACACTCTAATTTGATCTAGTATTATTAAGAAAGTTATTTTGAGTTTGGAAGTCGAAGTCTAGGGAGAGGAAGGGACTTCTTTGATTTTCAAACAACCTAATGGTAAGTTTTATTTACCACTTTTCTTTGGTCGAATAAATTTTAAAGTGGGATTTAATTAGTCTCTAGGTAGTTTTGTTCTATTTTGCAAGGTAGCCATCATCTGTTTCAGCTAATTGCAAGGTGTCCCCTGCTAGCCCTCCTTTCAGAATTTTCATCTTCTGTAGATTTTTAAAAATCTGTTTCAGAGAGTTACCAGAGACCCCCTCCAAAAATTAGTATGGAAGCCCTGTCCAGATGAAATTACTTGATAAATATCTAAAGAATGCTATTGTTTGTCCAGGAAAATAGAAAACAGATTGTTAGAGCCTCAAAAATGATTGACTGGGTCTGCAAAGGTATTATTTACGTTCTTATAAAAATAGGCTTTTTGTGTTCTGCCTAATCTATTTAGACCACATGGGCAGGTGGGGTGAAACTGGTGATGTATATCAGAAAAATAACTGAGGGAGCACAAGGTCATCTGAGTTGGAGAAAATACTTAGCGGTTCTGGAGTGGATGGGAGTTCCTCACACTGTGTTTTTCCTGCTG